ACGCCACAAGTCATAGTCACGGATAAAAGTCACTGAGCAATCCAAGACGTGCAGCTTCTGCCGTCGCCACACCCGGGAATTGGTGGAATCTGATCTGTATGCTATGGCGCTGACGGACCAATGACCAGGAGCAAGGTCATAGTGAATTGTTTGCGCGGAGTTTAGCATCTCCTGGCAATGATCCCGCATGAGGAGATTCAGAGCTGCTGCTGATCGAGCCTCACAGCGCTGAACAGTTTGCCCTGAAATGTCACAACAGTTCAACAGTCCAAAATCTGCAGCAGCCACATTGCTAAGAGCACGCCTGATGCCGATGGCATACATGCTGCAGTATGTCAATCGACCACGCCGACCTTCAAGCATACGTCCAGACTTCACAAGTTCAAATGTGTTGCCCTTCGAGGTTTCCATTTGCAACTTTCTTTTTTCCAATGCCTTTTGAAGCTGTGTTCTTCTGCCAGTTGGACCAACGCCCTTTGACACGTTCTTCACTTTCTTCTGGGCAGCTTTCAGTTGTTGCCGAAGACGACGGATCAGTTTGTTCTTCTTTGCCAGTTGCCTCTTCAAAGAGTCTGCTTGCCGAGTGGTGGCTGAGGTGCGTTGGCTATCTTGATCATGACTGCGAGCAGCTTGACTCGGACCACTACTGTCGGCATCTTCATTCCTGCTTACTTCAGACATGAAATCAGCACCATCATCATGATCACTGTGATCACCATCATGGGGAACAATTTGCAAGGCATGCAATTCTTGGTTTCCTCGCACAGCACAAGCGCCAGATGGGCCAGCGTCAGCGTCAACTTCCGCAATGTCAACTTCTATGAAGTCCATGGTGCGGGTCGTTGACAAAGGTCTTGAACTGCTCAATTTCAGATCTGTAGCTGCGGCTTTTGAAAGCCAAGGTCTCTGGCGGAGCCCAGAAATTGATAAGACTGATCCGGCGGAAACATTTGTGGGTGTGCTTGTTGCTTGCACAACATCATCATCGTCGTCAATGCAAATAGCAGCTTGCCTAGCTTGGCTGGGCACGTTAAACTTGACTCCCAGCTTGCTGCAAAGCCTCTGCAGAACAAAGGCATTGGCATAGGTCAGCTGGGTGTGTGGATCTGTATAAGCCGTCGCTACCTGCAGGAATGACGAAGAATCTCAGTCTCAGTATCAGTATCAGTCCATCGATGAGTAACCTGTTGGTTCAGCAGTTGGTCCATAGTTTGAAAGCTTGTTTAATCAACCTCTGCATGGGGTGTTGAACGGTAATGCAAACAATGTCCCCTTGACCGCTTGACCGCTTGACCACTTGACTTGACCCTCTCTTCTGGTACCTCTACCTTACTCCTTCTTCTACTACCCTTGCGCCGCATTGCGCCCTTACGCCCTACGCCCTTACGCTTTCCAAACCAAAGCCTTGCTCAAGACTTGCTTCACTTGATTCTGGCAGGTTGTTTGAGGAAGACCGCTTTGCCTGAGGATTCGCTTCACGAAATCCTGAAGCTCAATGACTGGAAGCAGGATTTGGTAGTCAATGACGATGTAGTTCTTTTGTGCCCAGGCATTGAGCAATCTCTCTGAAATTGATGAAGCCATGGCCCCACTGCCATTGCTACTGAAAGAGTGTGGAGAAAAAATATACAATGTACAAAACATTCTGTTTCCAGCGTGTTCATTGACTTTCACGGCGCCCTGAGAAAACAACTGTGTTTCCTCCTAAAGTTTGAGTATGCAATACCTTTTCTGTTGCTTTGTATGGTTGGTTTGCACATATACGGCTGCTTTGCAAATAAAGGACGCTGCCTCCGGCAATAGTGCATACCAAAAATTTGGCACAAAAAACATGTTGGCCACCCAGTTCGGCATTGATGTATACCAAAATTTGGCCCAAACAAAGTGTTGGCCACCCGGTTTTTGCGAGTGAATATGTATATTCTGCACCCCTTAGAAAAAGTATGTCTACAAACTAGGGTCTGTTTTTTCATAAGACTTTGCTGGATCCAAAGCATTCTACTTAGTTATCTCCTTGGCGCGGACTGGTTCCACCAACCACAATCTCCACACCCGTGGTCTACTCTCATCGCTGTGAGTGGATGTCCATAGGGGGTTGCTGACTGGCATGTCTGCTACGCTAAACTCATGCAACTTCGAGCTTCCAGCATCAACAAAGCCATGTCACCTTAACAACATTTGCCCTGAGAGGCTGTGCTCGCTCACGGGTCCAGGCAGCTACAGCTTTGGGCCAGCCACCTGGCATAAACTGCACTCCGAGTGGCCCTGGACATCTTCTCCGACCAATTACACAAGACTGGACAAAACAAAAGTATTGAGCCACCGAGTAGGGTGTCATCAAAGCGTTCTGGATCATCTCCAGGCACTTTGTCTAGGCCCAGCTCATCCAACCCTGCGAAAATGCATTCAGATTTGAACTAACTGAACCCCTCTTGTATACTATTTCTTCAACTAAACCAGAACACCACAACTGAAGTAAAATGAGCAAGCATTAGTAAAATGAGCGTTGGTCTCTCAAGCCTGCACGCCGTGCAGCCCCTTCAAGCCGCCTTCTGCCCGCCAAGTCACCACGCGCGTAGGCACACGCACCTCAGACTCCTAGTGGTCCTAGTTCCTTTTATCATGTTCTATATAAGGTTATATAAGCAGAGTCTGAAAATGTCTATATAAAGAGCCTTCATTTTACAATCGTTCTAAGCGTGGTATGGGGAGTTGAGGCCATGCCTTAGGTAGCAAGGAGCAAAAAAGGCTGAAGTGTCTTAAGTTCCATGCTGGAAACTTGGGCGAAGGTGGTTTCAGGCCAAGTCAAAGCAAGCACATCTCCGTCTCGGATCAGCTCGGCAGGCTCCTGCAATGCAAAAATTAAGCTTGTCATAGCCGACTGACTGGTCATCGCTCTTCAAGCTCTCCGTCAGCGGCAGGGTGAAGCCGTCAAGCTTTATCTTTGCCTGGCAGAAATATCGTCGCAGCCCCTAGTAGCGTCCTTGTTCCCAGTAGTAAGGCCAGGAGCCCCTAGTAGCGTCCGAACGCTCCGTTCGTAGCGGCAAAGCCTGGGTGTCTCAACATTCTGTCCAACAAATGTACTCTTTACCGCGTGAATCTCCGCAACGGTGCTTTTGTTCCTTCGGCTAAGGCCAAGCCACTGCGCGGACTTAGTGGTAGCTCCAAAGGAGCTACGGAGAACATGTTCACACGACAGGAGAACCGATGCCCCTAGGCCCCAGATTGCAACTGCTCCAGTTGAAAAACCTATACGTTTCTGTGAGGTTCGACAGCTCCAGCCATAGAACATCTCAAAGTGCTTCCACAACGCCTTTCTCCAAAGCCCTCTTGTTAAGGACGTTCTTAAGGGAGAGGTCAACACCATGAGAAGGAGCGTAGAGCTTCTCGGGATCCGTGTAGCCCCACTCAAGGGTAAGGCCACCAAGCAAGTTTGGATCCACCTCTTGCACGATTTTCACATCAGTCGTGCCAACCTTT